CAAAGTGACATGAGGAGAAAGATGTAGGGTGTGGAGGTTTTTGAGGAGTTTTAGAAATAATTTTGCCTTCAATATAAAGGATTTAGTTTGTTTAAAAGGACCTAGTATATGGATTGACTTGACAATTGATGTACCAAACTTATGTCGTTCCTATCAATACAATATGGAGAGAGATCTGATCCAAAGAAGATGTCAAGATCTTCTTGAGGCTGGATTAGTGGAGATATCATATTTAGAGTATGCCTTTGCTGTGGTGATGCCAATCAAGAAGTATATATATGATAATTACATATAGACGTATGTATGGTGACTACCAATCTATCAATCATCAGACAAAATCGATATGCTATGCATATACTTAAGGAGATATCTGATGCAATTAGACATGCAAAGATTTTCATTATATTGGATTTAGAAACAAGATATCATCAATTAAAGACTTGAGATGAGGACAAGGCCAAGATAGCCTTTCAGACAATTGATTCGCATGGATAAAATATGTTGAATTAGTGGAAATTCTTACCATTTGGGTTGAAGAATGCACCTCCTGAGTTCCAATGAGTGATGGATAGGATCCTAGCCGGACTTGATTGTACCCGAGACTATGATGTTCATGATTATCATCATCTATCTAAGTAACAGTGAATATTATAACAATGTTTGATGCATACATGTAGAAAATAAAAAGTTTATCCCAATTTGGTTTGGCTAAAATAGGACCCATTACCATCGCCTTCTTAAGAAGTTCAAAAGTCATCACCGCCTCTCCATCATAAAAGATTAAACCATAATTCATCTCCTTCTTCATATAAATCGTCAGGTCATAAGTTTTGTTGGAGAAGGAAAAGATGAACCTTTGATAATATCCCATTATATCAAGAAACTACCTCAACTTGATCAACGTCACCAAAAAAAGCAAGTCAAGTGTGCATTTAAACTTTTTCAAAGATTGTGTGGAATTTTGCAAAAGTCGTGATGTGTGTCAAGCTTTTGTTATAAATGTGCATGATCTTAGTTTCTATTTTAGGTCCTTTTGAAAAATGGATAATAGAATCTTACTCCTCGGGGTGACAAGCTCATTATATTAGGTATAAATTATCTAACCAAGTGGGTAGAAGTTAGATCTCTAAAATCTATTGGTGATGAGAAAGTGGATAGATTTCTCTACAAGCGAATAATAACTAGATTAATATGGCTCCTAGAAATTGTATTGAATAGAGGTAGTGAGTTTGTTGGAAGTACTATACAACCCATATTTGATCATTTCTCAATCGAGGCATGAGTGACTACTTGGATGTGTGATTACAAGACCATTGATAGCTCTTTGCCTACCGAGATGATGGAGGCAAAAGTTGGGGGCGAAAAATGCCCAAAATCTCATCCTTGGTCTTATGAGGATGTTAGAGAAGGAGAGCTAGAGTCTTCTTCAAGTATGGTTGGAATTTTTTGCGTGGAGCAAGCGGTGGTTATCACTACATATCTTTATGATACAACTTAAAAGGTTAGAGCTAGAGCTGCTAGAGTTATTCACATTCAGATAATGGAGCCTTGTATGAGAGATTGAAAAAACTTTCTGCTCAAGAGATTATCGTTAAGCAACGAGATACTACGTCTTCATCTCTAGTGTCAATGGAGAAAAGATTTGGGATAAAGATATAAATTCAATAAATACTTTTATGCTTCAAAATATTTATTGAATATATATCTATATTTCTTTCTTCCTTATTTTTCAGATATCTAGTGTCCTAGACGGTAGAAAGAATTCAATTGAGAATATCTAAATATGACACATCATATATAAATTATTTATGTCTATCTATACCAGCTATGGCATATTATAGACTAATTATTCAAAACTCGAGAACCATGAACAAATAGGTAAATAGATAAGAAAAAAACGAAATGAAGGTGGGGCATGCACTGTTTGACAAGATTTTTTCACCTTGAAAAGAAGCCCGTGACCATCATTTTAATGGATAACTAACCGAGTTATTACAATGTGTACAACCTTGGCAATGTCAAGCATCGATATTTTCTACCTGCAGGGCAGAAAATTAAAAAAATATAAATTGACTTTAGCTGAGAGCTTATAGAGAGCCGCTATGTGCTCGAAAAGAGTCAAAAATCCTTTTTTTGACATTCGACCAATGGAAATTTTGTCAAAATGGCTGAGAAAGAAGCATTATGTGCCGTGACTAACCTTGGCTTACACAATATTGGGGCTTGGAGTGGTTTATTTTGTTTCCAAAGTCTCAAATTTTTAGGAATTATAAGTCCTAACTTGTTAGAAAACACCATTAAGGTAACCGAGAAAAAGGACGGCAACTGGATAGAGTCCTCTTTTAAAGTTTTAATATAAAAATATCTAGATATATCTATAACAATGGGAGAGGCCCAGAGGACGAATACTGTGAAGTTTTTGGGACAAAGAAGGACGAGACCGGGAATACAAAATATAATAACAAAAGGGATGGGAAGACCCCATCAAAGCGTACAAGGATGGAACCAAATCGGTGTCGCATAGGACATTTCTTTGTTTTGACAACGCCCAAGCGCCTAGCTGCACAAGAATCCTCTTGAATCTTGTTTGAGTTGACAATCTCTTCTTCTTCTCCTCAGTACTTCACATTTGAGTCCATTACAACCGGTTAAACTTCACCGGAAGAAGATTATGATATCCAATGATCGGACCAATAACTCTCGTTTAAACTTAACAAAAAATTGCACTACAACCTTTTTAATCTCTCTGAAAAGTTTCATATGTTTTTCTCCTCTAGATCTCTTAGAACAATTGTTGATTTACACACTGTATCACAAGGCAATATGCAGATTCCTATGTATTAAACCTATCACACATCCCAATCATTGATTCCAATTGCACTTAAATTTCATGAGAAGGTCACTTATTATCCGAAATTCAACTGTGCAAACTTTTATTGACAAAACATTCTGATATCAAAAGATATGATTGATGTACTAACTTTGTGATAGTCAGTGCAATCCTGCAACTCTGACTATATACACAAACTTCAACCTATCACTCTGTACTCAAAACTCGTTCAATTGAATCAAAATTTCAATCCTAACAGAAGCCTGAGTTGTAAACTACATCAACTTTGATCTCCCAAAATCCTCTTAAGATTCTCGGAAACATCCCAAATACACTCAAAGGTCTAAATTTCTCACTCTATCTTTGAATCACCATTTCAGAGTGACAAATCCTTCAAATTTATCCATTCTTGAGCCCACGTTGTAGCTCGTCTTGCCAGCTTTTCAACCCTATCCTCCGATCTTCAAATCCCTCCCTCAAAAGTCTCCAAAATCCCTAAAAACCTTTAAAAGTTACCCTAGTGCCTTCATTGGCCAAAATTCCTAGACCAATGGGAATGGAAAATGTTATTTTGACCTCTAGTGTGGCCAAATTAGCTCCATTTTAACTTGGAGCTTTACAACTATCCTAAACACACTATTTAGACATCCTATACACAATATAAGTTGTCACTAATAAGAGTTAAAATGACAACTCAAAACAGGCTAAGTATACCCGAAAGTGATCACAATGAAGGCACCAGATGTTGATCACAAATGGACTCGGCATCAGTACATCTGGAGGATCATGTTGTCCTCTATCCATGTCCTACATCAACCCCACTTTGATCAAATAAGCTCCTTAGTTAGCAAGGTGATGTATCTAGATCCAAGTCCTACAAAGTTGATCCAATGGTGGGCTCTTAACAGCCTTAAAATGCCATCGGTTATCCTAACCTAAAGTATCACCGTCATGACAACAGTTCTAAAGATGACACATGTCATCATCTTCTCATAGTAGCCGCGTCACAACACGACACCGGTAACATGGGGCTAGGCCCCAATAGTATCACATTGGGAAATATGTACTACATCATCTAAGATATTTGAACTATCCAAGTCAAAAGGTCTACAAACAATATGAGCATCCGAAGAAGTATCACCTAACGTGATTACTCTCCTATGGATTGCATCAGCTAGTGCTCTCTGTAGAGCAATGGAAACACGTTGCCTAAAATAGGCTATACAATAAGCTAAAGAGAGTGATACCCCATGTCGCCTAGTATGGTAGGCTCTCACGCACTCCCTCATGAACATGTCGGTGTCCATAGCTCCATATAATTCCAAAGCTAGAGGAACAAAGAGGTGACCTCTCTGCATACCTCTATATTTAGAGACCTTGGCTGCTACCGCTCCACTCGCCCCCCATCATGGAGGATGGGTGATCACCCCCTATGAAACTGTGTCTCTAGTAGGATATGTAACCACCACATCTGCCACATTGGTCCTCCCGAACCAAGTCCAGGTCTGCCCTAACCCTAGTCGACTGCAAGGCATACCAACGCTCTCTCCATATGAGGTATCCACCCTCTCGCGCCATAGCAAACACCACATCCCTAATGGCATCATGGGTAGCTATCCTCTACCCTCCAAATGGACAACGAGTCATATGAACACCTGCTGCATCTAAAGTGATACCACACTCACATGTGAGTAATGAAGATGTAGATGGATGGACCAAGCGAAGACGGAACCTCAAGAAGGACGAGACTAATGGGATAGGTCTAGACGTCCCCATGGGGTCTTTTTTTGTTTCTTTCTTTGCGGTTTTTTTGTGAGTTTCTTTTCATGTTTGACAAAAAAAAAGCAAAAACTTCTAATTTTTTAGGAAAATCTATATTTTTTATTTCCTTCCACTATGGCATTTTGGAATATGTCAATGATGTGTCAAATCTTATAGAATGCAAAAAGTTTTACTTGGATTTATTCAGTCCCTTTAACAAAACACATTTAGTGCAATTCGTTTGATTTCTATACAAACCTTAATTGGTTTGTGATTCTTTTATCGTTTGCAAGCCATTAGGCCCGGGTCCGGTGAAAAGAGGCGCGGATTGAGCCAAAATGGACGTTTGTATAAAAGGTGTAGCTCCAAAATTGATTTTTGGTTTTTTTTTATTCATTTCTTTGGTGTTTATTCTTTAGTAGCTCAGCGGTTAGAGCAAATGGCAGTTAACTATTGGGTTGTTGGTTCGAATCCAACCTAGAGAGACCAAATCAGCAAAAAAAAGTAAGACCAAAAAAATATTATGTAGCACTAATGTTTTACACCTTTGGTCTCAACTAGAATCAATTGAAGTATTTGACGCTTTTCTTTTCTTCTTGTGTTAACTCATTTAAAACCGGCCTTATCAAAACTCGATTCTCCAACCCGGTAATTTTCAGGCTGATCAATGCCCTTTGCAGACAGGGCAAAGACCAAACAGTCTAAAACCTATGGGCCATTAAGCACAAGGCCATTGTAACAGGCCCACAGACGCCAATGTGCAACCTGGGTCGCACCGCTAATATAAGCGGTGAGAGATCCATAATTAGGAGGCGGATTTTTCCCTCCCACAGATTTAAAAGGGCCGTTGTCGCATGGACAAAGCTTTACTCTGAGAACGCCTGAGCGTCAGGCTGTAGAAGAACTCTCCTCGTCCTCGTGTGAACTGACAATCACCCTCTCTTTCATCTCCTCATCTCTCCATGCCCAACTCGTTGCACCCGGTAAACTCCAGCGGAAGAGGATCGTTGTAACCAACGATTGAACCGTTAACTCTTAGCCAAACTTCGCAGAAAAGTACTTTGCAACCATTCATAACTCTCGAGAAAGTTTCACATGCTCTTCAATTCTAGATCTCTTGTTCCAAATGTCGAACTATACCCTATATCACAAGGCGATATGCAGACCCTTGCGCACTAAAACCACTATAAACTCCAATCCTTTGATCCAATTGCACTCAAATTTCGCAAGAAAATGACTTATCATCCAAGCTTCAACTCTGTCAAGTTTTATTGACCAATCTTATCGATAGCATGAGTTATGATCGTCGAACTAAATCTGTAACAGTCTGTGCAATCCTGCAATTCAGACTGTGTACATAAATTTCAAACTACTGCTTTGCACTCAAAACTCAACCAATCGAGCTGAAATTTCGATCAAATCGCAAATTCGAGTTGTAAACTCTGTGTCTATTGAATCCGATCTGTCAAAGCCTTCATAGAACGCTCAGAATTCACTCAAACTCTCCCATTGGTCCAAATTTCACTCTCCCACTTCAAATCACCACACCGGAGTGTCAACTTGCTCAATCGCCTTCATTCTTGAGCCAAAATCCTAGCTCTCCTCGTCAGGTCTCCAATCATATCCTTCAATCCTAAAAAACTCCCTTCGAAGGCTCCTGAAACTCCTCAAAACCCCAAAGAACTTGCCCAAGTGCTCTCATTGGTCTAAATTTCCCAACCAATGAGAATGAAGAGTTCCATTTTGACCTCTAGTGGGCCAAATTAGCCACAACTAACTTAGAGCTTAACAACTAGCCTAAAAACACTACTTAGCCATCATATAGGTAATACGAGTTGTTGCTAATAAAGAGTCAAAATAACCACTCGAAACCGGTTAAGTATAAACGGAACAACAAAAGGGACCGGGGAGTTTATAACTTGAGTATAATACTCCTCGCCAAAATTCCTAACAATCAACTCCCTATGACTTGCCTTTGGTAGACAATAGTGATGGACAGGGACCCATGTGTTGAAAGGCGCCACTATCGGCAAGTTTAGGTCCATAATGCTAATATCAAATCAAAACATAGAAGTCCCAAGTCGCTCCGTAGGAAACAATTGGCAGAATGAAAGGATCTGGGGAGTTTATCACCACTTCCATAAAGCTATCTCCAAAATGATACACTAACCATGCCCTAAAGTGATCACGATGTAGACACCGGATGCTTATCACAAACGGATTGGGCATCGGTATATCTGGAGGATCATACCGCCCTCTATCCATGTCCCACGTTGGCTCCACTTCTATCGGATAAGCTCCTTAGTCAGCGACGTTCTAGACCTCCCCCCTTTCCTTTCGACTCCAACCACGCTTTATATCCGATAAGGTCCAAGATGATATCCCTTGGATCCTTATCTACATCCTGGCCCTAGGATGACAATCCAACCGTGGCCTCTTAATGACCTTTTACAATGAGCCGTCGGCCATCCTGACCTAAAATATCGCCAAAATATCGCCGTCATCTCAACAGCTCTGAAGATGACACATGTCATCATCTTCTCATAGTAGCCGTGTCACAACACGACACCGTCGGCAGACAGCATCAAGATCATTATCACCATCACTAGTAAGGGCTCTAAAACACATAGAGGTTGTCTTCACATGCAGAGATCAGTTTCACTCATAGAGAGAGCGTTTACACATAGAGAGAGAGGAGATCACACAAGAGAGGCAGGGCGACGGTGGCAGGGTGTTACATTCCCAACGGAAGAATCACGTCCATTTTGTAATTGCGGGTATTCTGAGCCATCGCAAAGCACTCTAAGCTGAGTTTTGATGTGGGGAGTGGGTTTCTTGGGAGTGATATTTTGTCAGACGTAGAGGCGGTGCTTTTGTTTGTGGTGTGATAGGTATTTGGAATGGAGTAAGCGCTTGACATTCTTAGTTGGAGGTGAGTCAACGTTTTGACAGCCATAGGCCGCAATAAAGCCATTTTTTGCCATAGACCCATAAAGGCAAAGAAGTGCACTTTGGGCCAAAGAGGTTTGGTTCGGCGATTCCGTGATTTGGCACTGCTCGTTTGGTTCGATTGTTTCGCAGATTCTGTTTTGTATGCAGGCACTATCCTACAAGACTTTGTTTTTCTTCCTGTATTTTAAGTAATATAATGTTGTATAGGATAAGGAAAAACACCTCATGTTCTTTTTCTTTACCCTATACAATGCTTTAAATATATGAAGAAAAAAAAACTGCATCTCATTTTCAATCTGTATTATGTGATTCTCCACTCGACCTTTGGTCGACTGACTTTTTTTGTGCCCTCTTTTTATTTGTTTTTCTATTCATGGTTGACGAGTATCTAGTATTTAGCCTCATATGATACATTTTTATGAACAGAGTCACCTTTTTCTTGTTATGTCACATTAACCCTTCCTTCTACGAGTGGTTTAAAAGCCTGTTTGGGGCCGAAAGGCTCACAAAGTGGGTGAAGAACGCGCCCTTTTTTCTCTCATCAAGCGACACGGGGAAGCAACAGAGAATTTTTGAAGATCGATTATATAAGCTTTGTTCAACCATCGCAATTTTCAAAATTAAAGTATTATATATATATATAAGCTACTATTCTATATGAATGGCAATTCATATAGAATAGTAGCTTACGGGCCATATATATATATATATATATATATTTATTTATTTATTTCTTTTTTTATTTATCTTTCTCTCTATATGGGTCAGAAACTTTGATCCCCTCCCTTTTATATGTACGATGAAATTATTATTCTTATACAAGATATTAAGGATAGTAATAATTATCAGGTTCAGAATGGGGACTTATACCAAATAGTAAGATTTCAAAAATGACTTATTCGGTTTTCCAAGTCGGAAAACTCGACCCCCAACTTTTTAGAAATGAAAGTATGAAGAAACCCCTGAGAATTTTTGTTGACATTCTATTAAATAATACGGTTGGAAAATTTTTTTATTACGATGGGATAAACACATTTCTATTCTATGATCTGATGAAGGGAACCTGGGGCAAAAGGTGTCCGCCCATAATCTAAGCCAAGATAATGAGATTAGATCCTTGGATTTTTGTAACTACTACATTCCGCAAACCAAACATGAAAGCCTTTGAGCCAACAAGCCTAGTTGCTTGTCCTTATATCTGACAGCGAAGTTTCTCAAGGGAACATGGCAGTCCTGAAGTAGATAATAGGAGGTGATCATATCATGAATAGAATAAAATATGTTCAGGGGTCTACCTTCCCCAAGGGAATGTTATGCTGGGTTGAGTCGCCCACTTATTACTTATGTCGCCGACCGGGTTATATCACTAGAGTCCCGTACCCTTGGCGAGTTCAAGTGATTTGATCCGGGCTATTGACTCCTCTGAAGCGGAGCCTATAATATAATTTTCCATATAGATAAAGGGCCGGGAACCCCAAAGAAGTCTACTTCGGATCCTTAAAAGTAAAATTACCAAAGGGATAATAACTATTAGGAAGTTCCTACCCTTTTATTACAAACCGATGGGAGATCATTCCCGTAAGCTACAAGAACTCTTTGAATTCTGTCAAGCATGCTGTCAGGGAAAAGAAGGCCAAGGGTCCTTACCTTTTATTACCATATTTATCTATGAGAATTTATTGGATTCAGCCTTTATCTATGTATGTGGGTGTTTCCTTATTTATCTATAATGATTCTTCATTTCTCTATGATTATTCAAGGCTAGGGACGGAAATGAGCTATTCATCATGGAATTACATAGTTAATAGCATAACTGAAAAATTCATTTTATATTCGGATGAATGATACTTTACAATACAATTACAAAAATTATTAGGTAATTTTACTTATTATAAAAATTATTAATTATTAGGTAATTATAATATAATTACCTAATAAATTGCATTTTTAAGTAAATTAATAAGGCGAACAATGATCGACTTGGACTCTTCTGGACTTGAGCGAACGTAGAAAGGCTGAAAAACTAATACATGTCCGTGAGGTCAAAAATATCTTTTTTTCTTCTCAGTCTTTTTTATTAATATTGATTAATCAAATCCTAAGCATTAATATAATATTATTTGGGGGAACCAAGGTGTAGCGCAATCTGGTAGCGCGTCTGCCTTGGGTGCGCTACCAGAATGTTTCAGGTTCAAATCCTGTCACCTTGAATCAAAATCAGAGTCAACTTAAAAGATGAAAATAAATCGACCATTATCACCTCACCTTACCATCTATAAGCCACAGCTTACTTCGACGTTTTTTATTTTTCATAGAATATCCGGAGCTTTCTTGGCCACTATGATTTTGTTAAGTTTACTTTTTTTTTAAAAAAGGTGATCTTAGCCTTACGTTTTATCATTTTCATGAGTAAATTTTTTTTGAACTGTCTATTTGAATTGATCTAGTATAAACTTAGTCAATTTCACTTTATTAGCATTGTGCTATCATATGAGTAATAGAGTTCGTCATTTATTATGGGATTTGGGTTTTTTT